ATCGAAGATCAAAATCAAAATTTCATCTAGCTGACAGGTCATTTTCATGAGTTGTTTTGCATGTTTTTCAAATATCATTAGTTTTAAAAGAATTTCGTCTTATACATTATCGAAGAAAAAGATGTGCCCGCTCCTCCTCTTTCGATTGGTGAAAATCGCAGGTAGCTAGGTATTGCGGTTGTCGAGTTATTGAGCTTACACTCACCCCTCTTTTATTTTGGCGCGGACATTAGTTGTTTATTTGAAAAAAATCAAAAAGACTATAACATAGATTCTTACAGCAGCTGTTGCAGCAAGTGTAGCAGATGAAGCTACATTTGAATCTCCAGTAACAACTGTTGGTACAGTAGCTGATATATTAGGAATTGTTGCTATTGGTACATTTGCAAATGTTGAATTATTATTAGGAATAGTAATGGATTCATTTTCAATTGTATTCACTAGTGGAATTAGTGAATTTGAAATATTTTCAGGTGGTTCATAATCATTAACTTTCCATCGACCACGTCCAAAATTTCTATCAACACGAATCATTTGAAAACGTGATGGACATCCTAATTCATCTGTTATCATTGGTACTTGTGGAATAGCATCGTCATGGTTATTAAGTGTATTTACTGGTAATTTATCAAGATTAATCACTTGAAATTTTCCTATTAATTGTTCATTTGTTGGACCGTTAATTGTTGATGGCCCATTCATGTCTGATGATTTCTTGTTTATGCAGTAAAAAATATAGAAGATTTTATTAATAATCCTAACATTATGTTTATTTCTCTACAAATATATATATATAAATATATGTATATATTAACTAATACTCATTTAAATTTAAAAAAAAAAAAAAGAACGAAAAATAATAATGAAATTCTTTTATTATATAAAATCACTCTGTGAGTAAAATGTTACTAAATTGTGTAGCAAAGATTTGCTTGACTTTATCTAAATACAAAAATAAAATATATTTCTTTTTGTTTTGTTTGTTGTTATGACTAATAAAAATATTTTTACCGCTAATTTCTTTTAAATTCGCATTTTTGTGATTAACTACAATTAATAATTCACGCATATCGGATCGTTTAGCTATTATCCATGGATCATTTTCACGTTTAACCATTATTTCACCTGATGGATGAAACCTAAATATTAACTCTTTTTTAATGTTAGAAGAAGATAATCTGATAAAGTCCTACGAAAATAAACATAAATGTTTCGCCGTGATGGAACATTAAGTCTTCTGTGACAGGGAGAAAACTTCTTCAGGTATTCTCTTCCGATTTCAATAGCTTTTTTTTGTCTATCCGACGAAACAAAGAAACATGGCATTTTCATGGATGTTTAATAATATTAATTGTTTAGTGAAATCAATTTTTACACTAATGAGATATCGCGTCTTTAATTATTGTAGAATATAATATTCTAATAAAATTCTTAAAAGTTTTCAAAATGTAGACTTTTTTAGCTATTGTAGTGTCCATAAGAAAAATCAGTAGGTTTCATGTGTCTGTAAGATCTTCGAACATCCATTCTGAGTTGCATTTTTTGTTTTCAACTGAAATATAACTTTTTTTTTTGTATCCAGTCACCCGTGTTACTTTAACATGAGTATCTATATGACATATGTTTCGAACTCTACCTTTTTGTGGACGTTTTATGATGTTGAAGAAAACTTTTTTCGTTTTTGACCTTTCTATCTGAATTTATAGAGAATTCTGAACACTTGTCTGTTGATTTTGGATCGAAATTTTATATATTTCTCTCATACAAAAAGGAGACAATGAGGATTTTAGCCTGTTTGAGAACTAGAAATGACCAAAAAAGAGGCGGGATTTCCTTAAGCAATGAATTTATTGAATAAGTTTTATGATCGAGCATCTAATATCAGTACTGCATTGTCAACCATTCGTCACATTTGTTGACATTACATGTTTTGTTCTCTAATCAAGCGATTATGATTCACAGTGTCTCAATAAGAACGTAATAATAACTCTCTACAAAATTTGAAACTTTTTCCTATTAATCAAAATTGTAAAGGATTTATTTGAGACTTAAGAAACAGAGTCTAAAATTCTACTTATACTTTTCAATAGTTCAAGATTAATAATTTTACAATCAATTCAATGAAAATCTAATATTTTTTCTTTATTTTACCATTGCATATCTTCGGCAAGTGTATTCATAATACCAGCCATAGAAGTAATTGGTTCACGTGTCCAATCAATTGTGGATGAATGTGCCATATTAATTTTATTATAATAAATAGTTCGTACAGTATTATCTGTTCTATAAATAAATGTAATTCAATATATATATTTAAAATTATTTGTGCAAATAAAATTAATACTAACACTGGATATTTTTTTCGTAAATGTTCTTCAAAATTAGGTATCATTGTATCTAAATCTTTTCTTAATGCATCAACTATTTGTGTATTTACATCTTCATTATTAATAATATCGTCATCTAATCAATTAATAAAAATAAAAAAAAAAAAAAAACGAAAATAAGAATATTCTTACCATCATGAAAAAAACAAAATATTGTTACTAAATTAATATTTATCACTAGTACTCGATAAGGTATTGGTGGATTTCCTAAGAAAAATGCTTGATAAATTTCACTAGTTGAATTTGTTGAAATAAGTAATTCATCAGCTGGACTAGCAGTTGTGTCGATTGTTAAATATCTAAAATATTCAAAATCTGACTTGTTGGTTTTTTTTGTTTCTTTAATAGATAATGAAAAATTATATTTTTCTTTACTGTGAAGTCGATGAATTTAATAATGTTTTGATATGTGGCCAATAATAGAGACGAAAAAATGAATAAACTAGACTAGTATCATCTTGAGAAAGACCACTCCTAAATAAATAAAAATTATGATTAAAAAAAATCATGAAAGTAAAGTACCATATAAGTTGATCTTTATAGAGAAAAAGTGTTTCTTTAAGTGATGAAAAACGTAATTCAAGTCGTCTTAAAGTAGATTGAAGTTTTAAATAAAGTTTTTTTTCAATTGGTAAAAATTGTATGCCAATATAAGATGCATCTAATGTTGTATCTCGTATTATTGTATGTAAATGATGTTGAATAAACTAAATAAATATTTTTATTATGACAATACTCTATTTAAATAAAATCTCCAATGAAAAGTTGTTAACGTAAATTCTGCGAAATTAAAATATGAAACACAATTTCAATGTTGTTGTTAATCATAAGGAGATAACTTTATTTTATCTATTTTAGGACATATTTCTTCATCATTCTTTTACTTAATTCTCGAGAAATATAATAAGGAAGTAATTTATATATTAGAATACGAATTTATGAATACATGATCTTTGATTATATATCAATAATCTCTGTTGCAATTTGTAACGCGAGGATACATTGAGCAATATCTATAGAACATGTGGACGAGCCTATCGGATGCAAAATTTTCGAATACGGAACTAGCTCGACGAGATCCAATCAGAGAATTTTTATCGAAAAAAAAAATTTCATTTTAAAAAATAAACAAATAGTACACCGGTCGATGCAGTTCTTCGTGCTGATGCCAAATATATTCTTATTTTTTACTCTTAAAGTATTTCTGAAACAAAAGAAAATTCTTTGAAAGTTCATCGAGTTTGAACCGTTGGGAAAGTATGCATACTTTTCCAAGAGAGGAGCCGTTAGAACAAGATCTGTACAATTTATTTCGTAGATCTTCCTACTTTCTTTCGAAGACATCTTCCTCTAATATAACAGAAATTTGATCTTTTTTCAAGTCCTTAAAGAGCTAGAATATTTTATTTTCAATAAAATATGTTAACCATTAGCTAAAGTATACTAGGCATTATTCAATTCGCAAAAAAAAACAAAATATCACTTTCGTTGTATTAGCAAATGTCTACATTATTGTCAACTGTAGATCAGGGAAGAGGTTTCTATTTGTCTGTCATGGTTTGTGTGCTGAAAGGAATCGAATTTCTATCCTATATACTTGCAGATCATGTTTCATAAAATCATTACTTCTCCTTAAAACCAAATTTTGATTCATTTCGCTGAGTATTGAAGTATATACATTCATAAGCACAACGTGCAAAACTATTCTAAAATAAAAATTAGACCGATTCGGCTGAAGTGTATAATAACATTTAAGAGGCTTGTAGAGAAAAGCGCTTTTTTTTTTTATATTAAATATATGATTATGTTCTGATAAATACACCTCGAAAAGAAGTAGTTATAGTCGATATCTTGAACATATCATTAGCATAAAACTAATATTTTCGAATGAATGATCATATATTACAATAGCACTCATAATTCTCTACAAGTCTGTGTAATGAGTTGTAGAGTTGAAAAAAAATATTCCGACTAGAATGAAGAGTTCTTCATCTTCAGATATTCGAAAACTTTTTTTTCTTCTCTTTTGATTAACATATTCTATAAATACAATAACATGTTGTTGTTTTTTTAATGTAATTATAAATTCTAATCGCGCGTGAAACTCTCTAACATCCATTTTCTATTATTTTCTGCTAACAAATAATATCAAATCTATTTTAATATATACTTATTCCACATTAGCAGACACTACTAAAGTGCATATTTTTTGTTATCTATTAATCACATCATTTTTATGAGTAATTTCCCATCTATTAGTCCTAAGCTCACTACTATGGAATGTGAGTTTGTATAAGTATTATACAACAAAAAAAACACATACTGTACTTGAAGCAATATAAAGTACAAAAGATTTGATATATTTGACAAAAAAAGAATTATAGTAGAAAGTGAATGTTCGAGAGTTTCACATGCTATAAAAATTAATAATTACTTTGTAAAAAAAAAAAAAGCAGTTTGTGGAAATCTGAAGGCGAAGAACTCTTCATTGTAATCAGAATATTTTTAAGAATTTCAATTCAACTCAACAGTCAAATTCACATACTTGTAGTGAAATTTCAAATGCGATCAAAATGAAATAAATCAACAAATGTACATAAAATAAATAGTTCATTCTCAGTCTTTCAAAAACCATGAGTTTCAATCAGACTGAAGCTAGATTCAGACTTTTTCCGTTATGTCTAGATAACCGTAGGAGCAAGCCTTTTTTTTTTTGCTTCGGCTCTAATAGAATTCATCGAGTTGATATCGAACTCTCATCAAGTCTGAAAATTAAAAAAAAAGATCGAATAAAATTTTCTGAATCTCTCGAAAATATTTTTTTTGTTTTGTCTTATCAGACACATATCTGTTTGTTTCGAGAGTTTAAAATCATATCTTAGAATAAAACAATGCTTTCAATCTATTTCAAACTTTTCAATATTCAATATTCATTTTAATTCTAAACCTTAATATATTACCTTATCAAAATGTTGTTTAAGTGTATTTCTTAATTCTTCTACACCACCATGTTGAATTACTGTCGATATTGTACCATGTTGTAACTATAAGAAAAAAGTATTCATCTATAATCTTTATAGTATTTTATTCGAAATAAACTCACAACAAAATATCTATATGACATTTTTAAAATCGGTAACATAATACGATCATTAATATTTTCATCATAATATTCAATAAGTAATTTATCATCTTTTTTTCGTTCAATCACAGGTATATGAAGTGTCTTAAATAAATTGCAAAAATTAAATCATTTTAAAGAAAAATAAAAACAAAAGTTTATTATTTTTTTTGTACCATAGCTATACAAGTATCATTTTCAACTTTATGAAATAAAAGACGAGTTTTTTGAAAATGTACCGTTTCAAATGATTCATCAAAACCAAATGTTCTTAAAAAGACAAGAATATTTAAATATTAAAAAAAAAACAAATACAATAAATAAATATAGTATTTTATGTTTTATTTTATACTCAGTAAATTTAACTAAACCTTCACAATAACCAATTGTACGTATTTGACGATTAAGATTAACATCAAATGGATAATAATACAAAATTTTTCGATCTTCCTATATTATTTATTTATATAAGTTAATATTATTTAAGTGAATAAAATAATCAATCTATCAAACCTGTCCTTCTTTTTCACATAATGAGGGACAATATATAAAATAATTAATAAGATAAACACTTGATGAGATACGTTCATTAGTTGATGTCATCTCAAAATAGTTAAATTATTGATTTGATTTACAATTTCACTTCTATAGAAAATGTGCTTTTCTTTTTCCTTTTTCTATATTCTTAGAACAATAATTTTTGGATTGGACTTTGTGTATTATTTTTTTGTGATTGGTTACTAACAGCAATAAATCAAATCATTATATGTGTCTACCAATATTTTCAAGTCTATGTATTAACCACATCTATCGGAAAAAATATATATATATGAATAACAGAGAATAGTTATGAAAATATATTCTGTTGCGGTAGACGAACAATAAATATCTTAACCTTTTTTTTCTAATTGAGATCAAGTGAACTTCACATTTTATAATTCATCTAATCTCAACAACAACCACATCTATTTAATTTCTCGATAAGTATATTATTTTGTCTTAAGGATTATATTCAAATGAGATAATATTTACATTAGTATACAAATTGTGTAGCTAGAACTGTCTTCCGACTTCAAAAGTCAAATACGAAGATAATACCATTTATACTAACTATCCTTCTCTTTCTGATCGACGTATCTTCATAGAAACTCAAGTACCAAAAGCTCTTGTGTAAAACAAAAGTCATATAAATTTAATAGAAAGCAAATAAAGAATGATGACATTCTAAACATTTTGTCAATGTCTCTGCTCTCAGTTATTCAAAGTTTAACTTGAATTTATTTCAAAAGATAATTCATAAAATTCTCTCGAAAATTTCATAAGAAGAGCTTTTTAAAGAAGATTATATCTGTTCAACAGTACTAAATTCTAAAACAATGCTCATTTACAAACTCATATTTTTGTGTTGCTATTTAATTGCATTAAGAAAAAAAGTGAATATATCATTTAATAACACACGAAAATCTCTATCAATTGTCGGTCTTTCCTTATTCGCTTTTCAAGTATGGTTCATATAGTTTATCGAAATTTTTATATGGTTAAGTCAAATATTGAATGAATACGAATTCAGATTTATTACATACTTGAAATAAAGTATTCTTCTACAACCTAGACCCGAATGAACTGCTACAAACACAGCAAGTTAAATATGTTTTCAACAAAATTGATTACAAACGTAAATCTGAAGATTTTTCTTTTGGATTCTATTTGAAAAGGTACGTGTCGAAACAAAGGAAATTTGCTTTCAAATGGTCTGAAATCTTTTTAGACAGAAGAAAACTAATTAGTTCTATAAGAAAACAAAAGTTTCTTTGAAAGTGAACTTTCTTAAAATATATTACTGTTGACTAGATATAGGTTCCCACAATGCTTTTGAAAAAAAAATTCAAGTCAAAGCATCAACAATTGCGAGAGATATTCATAAAATACTAAGAAGACCATTGTTTATGCATTATTCTTTAAATGTCATTGAAAGTATAAAAAGAAAAGAATAATGGAATCTCGTGTTGCTAAAACAAAATGTAATCTGTCTTGGAGTTTATTCATTCCTTATCATACTTTAGACAGAAGTGTATGTTGATATCATCTACAATTTTATCAGTATAATAAATAGTTTATATGCAGAGAGCTTATACTTCAATTCAAATAGATTAAATTTTTTCTAAAAATGTTAACAATAAAAAATCGATATAGTAGTTTACGACAATTCAGTTTTGAACTTGAACATTCATCAACAGAACAAACTGAACAATCAACGCATACAATAACTATAGAACCAAAAACAGCAACTAAACCTGAAAAAATTGATGAATTGAATGATACAGTGTTACTAGAAAAAATCAATAAACTACAGTAAGTAAAACATATTATACTTAGAACATATCAAATGTTAGTGGCGGAAGTATTTTAATTTGTTAAAGAAATTTTTTCTCTACATTTATCTGATATTTGACCTTTCTTCAAATAGTATCATAGGAGTAAAATTTTGATAAGAACTGTTTTGTCTTCGATGTCTGTCATCTATATTCTTCTTCTCTGATATCTAGCAGTCTATACATATTAAACAACAGAAAAATTGGTAGTGATAAAACAAAAATGCAATATAGAAATAAATTCATTAAATGTTCGAAATAATCTTTTTGGTTATTCATACTCAATTCTATTCATTGAATTCATTTATCGAACACTTTCTTTTTTGCTATCTTCCTCTGTATTCAAAGAATTCAGTCGCTTAGATTCTATGTGATTAAGTTGAATAAACAAAAGTCACATCGTATTTTCAGAGAATTACTTAAAATCTTAATGACCTTATTTCTGTATTGTTATACCAATACAACTTTTTTTTTTACTCTAGTATGTATAGACGGCTAGGCATCAAAGAAGAAGAACAAACAGTTTCCATCGAAATTTGATTATTAATTAGTTGAAGAATGGTCAAATATGAGAAAAATATCGAGCTCTTTATCTTAACTATCACATAATATAGTGAGAAAGTTGCTCGAAGGAATTAAAATATATTCGTCACTACTGTTTTTTATGTTTTAAAATAAAATGAAATTTTTATTAATTAATTCAAGAGAAGAAAATGAGAATATGCGTCTTGAAAATTTACTTTTTTCACGTTATTTATTACGTATAACAAAATCAAAAGTTGTTGAATCATTTGATGATTATGAATATGACACTGATGTTGTTCTTGGAACACTTGATCAAACAAAAATAATTGATACTTCTCGACAAATTTCATGTAAATATTTTCATTAATTTAATTAATTCAATAAATTATAAATTTTAATTTTAGTCAAAATAAGTACTAAGTATACTAAAGATGGTAAACCATTATGGATTAAACGATCAGTAACTTCGGTTGCACCTACCGATATACGATATCTTCCATCTATCGAACAAAACTGTTTCTTTATTGCTTCTTATGAAGTTGAACAAACACATTTAGATTGGCAACGAATGAAAGCAAATGCAGTCGCAGTAATGGATAATTTCAAGGTTAGTTTAGAATTCAAAATAAATATGAACAAACAAAATTTTAACATTATAAATTGTTTCTTTCATGTCACATATTTCATAGTACAACTTTGACAGAATCGTTTGAAATTTAGAAAAAAAAATTTCATCCAAATTGAATGTGAAAAACGTTGAAATTGATATGATAGTTCCGGGAATATCTGAAGCTTAACTTTATTTGTTATATCAAAAAAATATCACCGGTATTATATTCAATATTCGACTACTTTTGAGGCATAGCAAGAAGATTTACTTTTAAAGGTTAACAAAACCGACGTTAAAGAAATGAGAGATATTAGTTACAGTTAATTGTGTATATTGAGGAAGGGGGGGAGGGGGGAGGGCAGCGGACGCTAAAATTATTACTTTATCTTGAATTATATTCTAAAGTTTCTCTGATCTATGGTCCGCCCAAGCGAATTTTGCTAGAAATAAGTCTCTCAAATACGAGTAACGAAAAAAAAATGATGTTATGATAAACAATCATAGGACACGCACTAATGAACAAAAGTCTCTACTCCAAGTCGATCTCGGCCACTGTATGTGCTAGAGACCTGAAAATATATGTGCATGTACTTTACCAAAAATGTAAGTCATTGGCGTTGTAGCGTCGTTATCGCTTAATTGCAAAAGAAAGGTATGATTAACGGCAACCATTTGTTGTTGCTCTGAGTATTATAACCTAAAAAAGATTACCTACAAAATTTCGCACTATTTCTTATTAAAAATATGACTAATTCTTGGTATTTTTACATGTAGCTGAACTCCCATCTATTGTCTTCCTTCATTCATAAAAATAAGTTCATTTGCTCGACTATTGATATTTCTGGATCTTCGAAACTAACAAAATTATCATATACGTTCCATTTGTCTTTAATGCAAGACTCACTTCTGAAACTTAAAGTACTTCCCAAGGGTAATAGATAGTTTCTCTCTGTTACAATGAACGTTGTTTTTGAGAATATTGACAAATTTCAATAAAAAGAAAAAAACAATGTAGATAGTTACGACATAGCATTATATACTGAGGAGTCAGTTAGCAAAGAATACTCTTCCTATCCAGAGTGATGAAGTTGACAACAAAAATAGGTGCCATCTGTCATAACTACGTTTGTAATTAAGCAATAGCACGTATAGTGACCAAGATCGGTCGAGACAGAGACTTTTGCAGAAGTTAAATTGTATTACAAAATTCATTTAAATATTTTTTTTTTCTTGATATAGATGTTATATCGAAATGTTAAATCTGATGACGACGCTCAACAATCACTGAATGAAAGTGTACAACGACGTATAGACAAATATCGTGTTACTATTGGTGAAGAAAAATTCAATAGTCAATATTTATCGGTTCCAGGTGAACTCTTTGTTAATCGCATTCGTACATTTATCGACTATCGTACAAGTTTTATTGGTGCTTTGCGTGTTAATACAGAACTTCTAAATTCACAGATAGAGAGGGTTGATATAAGAATACGTCAATTAGATGATTTTATTGCTACAACAAATCAAGTTGAAATTGATTGGGAAATTCAGATGAAAAATAATCGTAGTCAGGAATTTAAAGCAATTGAAAAAACTTACATTATGGAAAAGTCATCTTATCATAAATTATTAAATCATTTAGAAGAATTTAAAAAAACTTTAGATGAACAATTAATGAAAATTCCAGATATAGAAAAACAATCGAAAATTTTACAAAATCATTTAGAACAAGAAATTATTGATATTGATCGTATTACACAAGAAAATAATAAAATTTTAAAAGAAAAAAATATTTTAAAAGATCGTATAAATAATACTAAAAAAGTACCGACAATTAATAATTATGCTCATATTATTGAACAAAGAAAAATTTTACAACATGACATTGATATATGGACACAAAGAGTTAATATTGCTGAAGTAAGATTTAATTTAAAAACTAATCAGAAAAACAAAATTCTTTTTTTCTAATCTTTTATTAGTCATTATTATCACAATTACAACGACAAAATAAGCCACCGAAAATTTTACCACCATTACAAACAATTACTCAAACTGATCAACATCTATGAATAAAGAATATTATCATACATACTTGATATAACTATTTGTCTGATTAATTTATATCGAATAGATTCAAATTTTTTCATGAAAACACATACCATAGATTTAATATCTACTCGAATTCATTTGAATTTAGATCATATTCAAAACGACTTGTTTCAAGATATACGTTAGCGTCCAATCTCGAATCAAGAAATATATTAAGTTAACGCTTCATTGAAGTCTTGAGGTTCGCCTAGACCCGTTCATAGAAAATTATAAAAAAATCCATACTTTTATTTTATTTAAACTATTCATTTTTGTATTATAGGTCTCTAAAATAGTTTTTTTTTTCTATAAAGATTTATTTAGTTTTTCTTTGATGAAAACAAAGCCTTGTTTTTAGATGTTTGGTAAGTTGTCATTTTTCTTAGTTTCTCTGACATTTTAATAAATTCACATGATTCGAACGAACTAACAAAAACGATATAATGTAGTTTTGATCAAAAAATAATCACAAAATGTCACACTGTATAAAGATAGTGTGAATTATTACCATTAGTGATGAATGTACAAATGAATCTATTTGGAAAACAATCGAAAGATGACAGTTTTAGTAAGACAACAAATTGTGCTTATAATTTGGTTAGTGTTATAGGGTCCTTGTGGGCTTACAGCTGTATTTTTTCCCGTTAGATCCATTCATGATTTCTAGTAAATATCTTATGCATCAACTATAGGCTAGAGATTAAAGAAGAGACATGCTCCGAAAGAACAAATGTTATTATAGTTCTAGAAGAAAAACTGTACAATGGATCGACTTAGGAGGGAAGGTCCCCAACTGATCAATCGCTTTTGTGTTGAGACTATGTGCATTATGTAGGTACAAATGAGTTATGAATACCCTGAAAAACGTTCGGACTGCCAGCGTATTGCTACGGAGATATTGCACTTTGAAGATATGTTTCGAAATGAATGCCGTGGTCCCCCTCAGGAAAACCAGAAAAAATGATTTTCGAATTTCGACTTGAAACTTTACGNAAAATATTATTGGAAATAAGATCTAAAAAGAATATTGAAGGGTAAGAGTAAAGATTTGTAATAATCTCCTCCCCAATAGATCATGACAGACCTTGCTGATATACGATTAAAAACCGTAAATATATATAACGTCTCGTTATGATGATACATGAACTATTTCTTTATTGTATTTCTGAAGAATTACGTAGAAACATGTTCCAATATAGATAGAATAAAATAATCTTCTTGGAATTAACAACAGCAGCTAAGTGCTCTTTCGAATTTTAATCGCACAGAGATTGGACGAACAATTTTTTTTGTTTTAATATTAATATTAGTCTCTTAAATATGATAAAAACATGTTTTGAAGGTCTTTTACTTAAACACAACAAGGTTCATTTAAATTTTCGTATCTTTACGAGTGTATATTCTCTTCTAGAGTCATTTGTTCTTAAGTATGACTGGCATTTTTTATGATCTAAGTAAACAATTCTCTAATGTGGTTGTTTTTATTTTTCTCTCACTTCTTTTTACTCGAAACTGTTCTCTTTAAGTTTGTCTTGATTCATCAAGAAATGCATGAAAAATTTATCTGGTATTGGTATAAGTGCATTTACATTTTAATCTTGATTTACAGTTAATTGAATTTGGCTTATGGCATCAAAAATGTTGGCAAGACAAAAAAAAGAATCAACTATACACAATGAATCATTAGATCAATTAAACTCATGTATGAAAGGTAATGAATAATATAATTATTCATATTAACAACTAGGTGTTATTTCCTAAGATCCTATTGTTTGATTATCACATATTGAAATTTAGATGTAAAATTTTTTCAATCGATGGAATGATGATTAGAACCATAATTACATACATCTATGTCTAAGCGAATGAATAATAGAAGTATTCTCATACGAAACTATTTCAAAAGAATTTTTTTTTTATATACTTAGTTGAGAAAAATACTAAATTTAAAATTAAAAAAAAATGTTTCTTGAAGCTCAATCATCAAAAGCTGAAATTGATAATTTACGTATTAATTCAAATGTTATCGAACAACTATTATGTATTCTGCCAACAGAGCCTCAAACACTTGAATTGGTAAGTAGATGCTAGAATTATTTGGGATCATTCCATCGAATTTCTTAAAATAATTGAATTTTCTATTGAAATGGTTGGATTTATCTTTGGAGAAAAGATGTGTCGCATGCGATGAAAACGAAGATTAAACTGTGTTTTTATTCCGAACACAATATGAAATATTGCACTTTCAATTCTTCTGCTGTTATGAATAAACATTGTCAATGTGTGATGATTTCAAGACGCAAAAAAAAGCTGTTGTTTACAAAATAAAACGTTCTATTGTGTCTAGTATTTTAATTCCGCAAGGAGGAAGAGTTTTTATTTTTTTACAATTGTTTATCGTCTAATCAAAGTTGAAGTTTAGTTATTAACGAAAGAAACAAAACTCTTTTAGAAAATAATCGAAGTTTTGTGAAATAAGATTTGAAAAGGTTGTTAAAGTATAGCTGTGAAAAATTTGGCCTTCTGCCTGACTGTGATAGATGTTGATAGGTTATATCTCGAATCACTCGGATGGACATAGGAATAGTTGACGCTCTATGATTTTCAGTATTTGAAAGAGAACAGATAATTTTATTAAAACATGTAAAAATCAGACAATCAATAAGTTGTTAGTTCTTAATGACCAATTTTGAAACGATCTTCATAATCATTTTTTCTTGACATGTTGATTTTCAAGATAGTCATTTACATATGGTTTCATACCCATGTTATAAGTATTCTTTTAAGACTCGCGAAATTGGCCAGCTGATTACTGGTCGCTCTGAAATGAGTTGATATAGAAGGTTTTAACTATGTCGACATGAGTAGTCATATTTATTCTAATTTTTAAAGCAACATGTAGTAATCAAATCGGTATTATGAAAATACATTGTTCCCACATTTTTTTCATGTTGCTTTAAAAAAATAAAACAAATACTACTACTTGTTTCAATACAGTCAAAACCTTCTATATAAGTTTATTTCAGAGTGATTAGTTGACTGATTTCAAGAATATTTATAATATAACAACGGAAGCATCTGAAGAAATTCACGAGTTACCAGCTATTCCTATGTTCGATTTATTCGTGATATAGTTTAGTTGATTAACTTTTTGAATGGATAGTACTTCCTTGTTGGATTTTGTAGACGATTAAAAGGATCGTGAAGAAATATGCTCTAAATAGTAATGAGCGACAGCAATCGTTTTTGTTTCTAGTTTCGCACTTTGTAATATGTGCACTAACAAAAGATGCAATATCATTTTGTATCAATGTCAGTGCGCTCGAGATATCTTGTGTGATCCACATCATGACATCTAATGTCCGTCCCTCTTGAAGATTCAGTACTTTTTTATATTCACTAATACTCCATCTATTCTGCACGTTTATATGTTCGACAATTTTGTTGTTTGCGGAAATCAAAATTGTCATAGAAAATCTATTGCAGTGAACGTTACTTGATAATATATATGAGTCGGGAGTATATGGCATTTGACGCAAGTCTTACACTCGCATAAAATATATTACTTTCAATGGAAAAAGTGTTGATCTCAGTTCCGTTCCTGCAGGGACCATCTTGTCCACATAGATAGAATAAATTAATCTTCATGTGAGTAGTAACAGCAGTTACACCTTGTTTCACATTTGAATCCTACAAGGCTTATGCTAACATCTATATTTATCTAGTTATAGAATTCCAGAAAGACTTTAACTATTGTTTTTTAATATTTCAAGAAACACAATCTAAATAGAAAGAACAATTTAATTTAATACAAATATTAATTTTTCTTTTTTTAGAATCGAATTTCAACACATAAAGAATTCTTATAGAATTTATTAAACATTCAAGGTTCATAACAACATTACACGAATGTTTGCAAATCTTTTTTTAATATATCATATACTATACTATACAAAAAGAGACCAATGATAATATCATATATTCAAAAATTTCTTTAGTTGAATTTATAAACAGATCTATTTCAGATAAAAATTATCAATCAAATGCAATCATATACGGAAAAACCTCTAACGAATGGCGATAGGTTACCAGCAAAAAATAATCGAAAAGCTTTTGATAGTAAAACAGAAATAGTATCTTTGAATTATTCCGATAAAAAACATCATCACCATCATCATCATCATCATCGTCATCATGGACATAGTTCTCACCGTCATCGACATAGTCCGCATCATCACCGACATGGTTCTCATCACCATCATCATCATCGTCATCATCCTTCTCATCATCATCATCGTCGTTATTCATATTCTCCATGTTCCGAAGGTTCAGAGTATTTTAGCGAAATTCATCGAGATTATCATCATGATCATCATTATCAATCAGTTAAATTACCACGAATTATTACACCACAACCACTAAAAATTATAACACCTACACCACAAAAATTTAATACATCAATCTATCGTGATATTGGTATTAATACAGGAAACGAAACAAAAATTATGCGAGATTCAAGTGTAACAGTGGATTTCGTTGATGTACCAAGTAAATGTTTACATTTGTTTTTATTTTTTGTTATTGAAATATTATTCTGTTTAGATCTTGCTGATAAACGTCTTGAACAAATTCCTATTGTTCGTCGTACAATTATTGTTGAACCTTATCCAGCACAACCAACATCACAAATTATTGTTAAACCACGTTCGGATATGATTGGAAAAATTCGTTTAGGAAAAAATACTCAACTTAATGGCGATGATGAAACAATTGTTTATCCATCAACAGCGTTTATGACAAAGAAATTAAAAAAAAAGAAAATAAATATTGTTAATAATAATATTATTGAAAATTTACATTTAGATGATATTAGCGATAATGATGATGATGATGATGATAAGAAGAAAAAAAGTAGCAAAACAAAAAAACCTAAAATAATAATAACAGGACAAAGAATAAGAAATGCTTTTTATAATTAAATTATTCATTATGTAAATTTTATAACACTAAGCTGTTTTTTTTTCTCATTGATTTTTACTATATTAAGTAAAATATATCATTTTTTTAATATAATAATAAGAATATTTTTATGTGAATGTTTTTTCATTAGAATAGAAAGATTATATATGCACTGATTAAATAGACATTGAAATGAATGACAAACATCTGAATTTAAATTCGATTAAAATTGGCTTCTATTGAAAAAAGTAATTTCGTCATTTTTATATGTAATCTTTTTTTTTGTATGTCTTTATGATACATCAATCACTACAAATAACGGATGAAAAGTCATAAAAAAAAAAGGAATCATAACACGCACAGTAAAATAAGCATAAACTGAATAGACACTTGTATTGACTGACAGATAAAGCTTTTAAATTTCTCAATTTACTAACTAACGAGAGAGAACATTTTCAACTGATCAATTGCTTCTCTTACCTAAAGCTACTGATTTATAGAGGAATGTTCAACTAGAAAAAACTCACTACTTTTAAGTAACAAATACTCATACTTTTGTGCATTTAATAAAGAAAACCATAAATATAGAATTGGATAGTCATACATACTGAGATTTCGACCGAAAATATAGAAAGAATAAGAATTTTTCACTGTAGAATTCGTACGATGATACTCTAGAACATGTCTAAGATCTTTTGAAAATTTTCTACAACATTTATGCTTCTCGCCGTAAGTAAATCTTCATTTATATTAATATATATATATATATAGTGAGTGGAGTATGAGTAATAGTGTTTTTGAAGAGAAGACTCGTACTCACATCCACATCTTCAAATTTGTTTGTATGAGTACTTTGATCAAATTGAGGTGTGTGCTTCTTTTTACTCTTGAAAATATGATACTTAGGAAGTTTGACAGACTTTACAAAACAAGTATCTTTGAAGAATAAGTATTTTTCGAAGAAGAAAACACGTACCAAGATTTCAGTTCAAGATCTTTTCGAAAGATGCATTTGAATATTTCGAATCTACAAAAACCTTTATTCTACTTATTGAGATTTATGTACTCTTTAAATTTTTAAAAATTTTCACCGCACTATACTCGAAAACGTAGTGAAAGTGTTTTCTTGAATCCAACATTAATCCTACTATCTAATATAATTCAATAGGCTTTACATAATAACAGATGATAGATAGAATGATTATATAAGTATATTTATTTCATGCTAATAATTAAGAAGCGCCATAGGAGTTATATTTCATAGTTTATTATTATTCTAACTTTTGATCGGGTACAATACATTGTCAATCTCGAACTAAATTATGTTCTAGTTCAGATGAATTAGTTTTTGTTTCAAAAGAAACGAACATTTTTCAATAATGTAAATATATACATTAGTACATATTTTGAATTTTAGGAAGATTTATTTTTATTAAAATGAAGAGTTATCAAACGAAATTTGATTGGATTTTTGTGTTATTGATTACGTAGATATAAAACAAGTGTTTTTATTCATTGATATTATGAAACACGATCTAAAAGACATGTCGAAGTATAGAGGTAGCTTTTCATCATAACTGACATCGGGACAGGATCAAAGTTTAGTGTGGGATTAGAATGGGCAGTTGTCCTTTATTGTTCTTTCACAATAATGTTCTCTTTTTACAATACCACCACCAGGTCTATCATGGTTTTCATTATAATCCCGCATGAATTCACTAACAGTTTTTTGTTTGTTCATAATGAATATACAAAAATATTGATCTTCGATCGTTCATTTATTAAGAAATCATCTAGATAAATTAACTGATCAGAAAAATTTATCACTTTCTATATGTAACAGTTTGATTTTTTGGTGATCGTAGATAAACAGACTCTCTTGTTGCGCCTATTTCATTATTTTCTATTTCTCTTGTTGTTAGACCAGGTGCTTTTCGATATGAAATAACTTTTTTAGGAATAGTATAAGAATTTGGCAATTGATAATATTCATCATAATTATCATGTTTTTCAACAATAACTTCACCAGGTTGAATTCTTTGTGGCTTAATATTAGATGGTCTTGGTGTTATCATATCAGTACGAATAGGTTTACGAGGTGTTATATTGCTTTTTTTACTTCGTGATGATGGTAAATGAAATGATTCTGTTTCATATCGATCTGATGATATTGAAGGATTAGGTGACGTTTTAATAGGTGTTGTAGGTTTTTTTGGTGAAGGTGGTTTTGCAGTTTCTTTTATTTGTTCAATTGATTGAACAGGTTGAATGGGTAAAGTAGGTTGAATGGGTAGAACCGGTTGAATTATTTGAATTGGTGGATTATTAAAATTTTGTGGAACAGGAGGTTGAACATAAACAGGAACAGGATAGAGAACAGGTTGAATTAAATTTTGTTTAGGTTCAATTGGATGTCGTTTAATAGTAACATGTACCGGTGATGATGAAAATTTATTATCTGCTGGCTCTACATTAGGTGGAATTTTTTGTAATAATGGATCACTACTACCAGGAAGATGTCGACGAATTTTTAATGTTCGTAGTGTGTTGTCACCAGATTGATGATGAGGATAATCATCTGTCGAATACGAATCACTTTCAGAGCCTGAATCATGTGTATATTGTGATGTACGATCCGTCATTGAATCTGGAGTGTATGGACGATCATCATAATAATTAGGAGCTGGTGGAATATAAAAATTGTTAGGTGGTTGTCCTTGATCATTAATGATAGGAGGATAATTAACTAAAAAAATAAATAAATACTAATAAAAAATATAAACTCCTTAATTGTTTCACTTGGATATGGAGCAGCCATATTTGATTTAATGTGTTGTTTTTAATAACAAAAGAATATGTAATATTTTTCTTCGATGTTTTCTTTTTTGGTTCTGTTTGTTTTAAAAACTGAAATGAAGTTGTTAGTTGACATTTTTTTATGCGTGGTAACATTTTTGTTTTGTCAATAAATTACAGAAGAAAGAAAAAAAAACCGTGTTTGACTTTTATTTTAATCGATGGCATTTTGGAATAGTTTCAAACGAAATAAAATATAAAGTATTGCATCGTTTGAATGCAATAGCAAAATAAAAATGCTCGACTGATATGTTACAAATAGAGATGAGCACAGAACAAACTTCAGTTTCGAGATCAAGGATATAATTGGGAATACTAGAAAAGATGTTATGAACGAAGAGAAGATCCAAATTCATAGCTGCACTCTTGATAGCGCAAATACTTGTGTTATCCAATGCACGTGGAATGAGTATATTGTTGTCTCATTTCCACAATCCCGATGGCACAATTTAAAGCGCTTTTCGACCATTTTTTACTAGTCTCTTGTATGAGTAGAATTTTTCACATCTGGAATAGGATTTGAAAAGCTGTATCAAGTATCCGACCGAAGTAAATCAATATCCAGCGGGTACTTTCACAATTCAAACTTTAACTTTATATGAAACCGTATCTTTCATAAACGGTTTACTTTAGGATTCACATAGTGTCTTTTTGCTTCTAAAACCTGTTCAATTTCGCTATATTATATATTTGCTTGTTGCTGATAACATTAGAATGGAACGCAATGTTGGTGTCAAACATCGTACTTGTGATTACATACACATGAATGCTTTTTTTCTATCACAATATGATATGTTCACACATTTTTTTGATAGTTCATTTTCCTCTTTATAAATGAATTCTTTTAGTAAAACAATATCGCTTGACACTTCTATGATGTGATCTGAAGTAGAAGAAATTGTTCAATCATTATTGAACCAGCTTTCACTTCTAACTAGCAGTTTAGAAAAGAAAAAATATTTTGAAAAGCCGAGATTTCATATATTATCCGAATATGAACTCAAATCTGCATCCATGCTTCGAATGCCGAGCTTCGACATTTTTCGATCTTTCTATGATCAACTCTGTTTCCAGAGAATGTCATAAGTTAATTTTCTCTATTAGAAACTTTTTATTATTTGTCTTGATTTTCTTTCTTTTTTTGTTTGTTTTTATTAAATACAATATATATATCAATTGAGATTCATTTACAATGTTCCTATATTATCCAATAATAAAGCATCACGAATTTTAGTCATTAATAATGGATCATTACATTCAATATCTGTTTGTTTTGAACGAACAATAATTTTTGCTGCATCTTGATTATATTTGATTTCGACGGATCTATTTGATTGTTCATTATCATTTAAATCATTATCATATTCATTTAAATGTTTAATTTCTAAACCAAAAAGACCACTTTTAGCTAGATTTATTAAAAATTTATCAATATCAATTTTTCCATATGTAATAAAATTATTTTGTTTTAAATTTTCATTATCTAATTCATTTATATCATATACATAATCACACATATCTAAATGTCCATGAATACTTGCAATAGCTAAATTAGATGATGATATTAATTTTGGTTTAATATCTGATTTAATATTTAATTGTCCATTTATAAATGATCGATTTATTGATGGTAATTTAATATTATCATATTTTCTATATGATAATATATTAATTTTATCATTTTTAATAATATCATTTAAATAATTTTCATATGTAATTAAATTTTTTGGTCGTATTTTATCATTTAATAAAATATTTATTTGTGAAAAATTTAAACGTGTATCAATAGGTAAATAAAAACATTTCATATTTATTGGTTGATATGGTTTTAATGCATCAATATATGAATATTGATTATCAACAAATATAATACCATTTGATGATGATGTTTTCATTTTTTCAATTAATTGTACAATAGGACCAAAACGTAATGATATATGACCAGTAAATATAATAGATGGTTGTTCGAAATTTATTAATGTTTCTGTATCATCTAAACGATCTGATGGTATTGTTATTAAACATTTTGTTTTTATTAATTCATTATGTTTAAATGGTGGTGTACCACTAAATGATGCTATTTGTCGTTGTTCAGTAACCCATTCTGACATAGCATTTGATATTGATAAATTTGCATTACTTATAGGTGATATAAAATACATATGAATATTTAAGAGATTAATTTGTTCGAAATAATTTGTTAAAAATTCAAACATTTCAAAAATAAGACCTGTTGATGAACATGGTATTAAAACACTACCATGATCATTAAGAATATTTTCAATTTTTTTTGTTAATTCAGGTCCATTTATGCTTGCATCAATAGTTGATAAAGGACATAGATTTGATAAAAGTAAATAATCACAATTAATAAATGAATCATAATTAAATTTTGTTGAATATGTTTCTAATGTTGTACTTGATGACATATAAATAAAACGTGTGAGATTTGATTGTGAAGATGATGTTTCAATTTTAGATGTTTGATTATGATTAACATTGATATCAAGTTGCCAATTACAGCTACCTATAATAATTCAAATATTATTATTTAGCAAAATTCAAATTTTTTATGAATCCGAATCTACATTTGGAGCTCTTTAACTTAAGAAATAGCGAATAGAATTTTCAAAATAGTATAATATTCGAATTCTATTTCGAGTTAGAATTGATTAAGAAAATAAGTACAAATATGGATCATTCTTTTGATGCCAGTGTTTTATACAGTGTGAAGATCGAGTACAGTCTATAGGGTCTAAAATTTTTGGAACCAGATACGACCGAATCTAGAACCAACCCGATAGTTCGAGTTGTATCTTAGACAAGAAACAATGAAAAGGTCGAAAATTTTTCATACACAACTATTCTCGTTAAGGCTTATCTGTCGGCAAAAGTTTCAAGTCGAAAGTCAATATTCTTATACCCGAATTCTTTTCATGGTATTCATAACTCATTAGGATCTGCATGCTGCACAATGTCGACAAAAAAAAAAAAGAAATTAATGAGCTGATTGTAAAATAAAAAAATTCTTTTATCTATTAACATATCTATAAATTATAATTTATACATAAACGTTCATTACACATGATATTCAACGTGCTTCAATAGATTTCTAATAGTTTCAATCGTTAATTTTCTTGTTTGATAAATATTAAATTTAAACAATACCTAAACAATATCCTGAACTAATTGCACTTGCTCGTATTGAACTATATAAATCAATTTGTTCATTAAAATGAATAACTTTTGCATGACTTAAACATTTATCAACATATTCAATTGAATAACAAGGCATTAATTTTTGTGCATATGAAAATAATTTTAATTTTTTATCTTTTTGTTGTTCTTCAATAGCATCAAATATATTTGAATCATATTTCCATTCATTATTTGTTTGAATCATTTTTGATTGTTGTTCAACATAAGCAACAATTTCATACATTAATTGTTGACCAAAACGATATGTTGGTTCTGTTAAATAAATTTGTGCATTTAAATTTTTATATTTTTTAAATAAATATGGTAAAGCAAGAAATGTTTCATAATTTGATATAAGTATTATATCAATTAATGAAAAATCATATTGATTAGAATCTAATGTATAAAATTCAATTGGGGAATAAACATATATTTGATTATGTAATAAACGTAATTCATTTATTTGTTGTGGAAGATTATTTTCTTTATTAAATGATAATAATTTATATTTTGGTAATGATGAAAATCGATTTAAACAACCCGGTGATGGTATTGGTAAATAATCAAGTAAATGATCAATTGGTAATGGAAAATCCAAAAGTATTGAACGACCATTTACTGTTAAAATAAAACATGGTACATTTGGATCATCTGATAGACAATAAAGACGCATGATAGATTATCTAAACAATAGGATTATTTATTTGTTATTATTATGAATTCACGAAAGAAAACCAAAAAAACATTATTTTTTGTTCAAATGTTAATTTAATAAGAATAGCAGAAAGAGATAGAAAAAAAAAACTACGAGATCTTTTATTTGTCATATGTCAATGAAAATTATTTTGTTTGTTTATGCTTTAACAATTGTAGTTGATGTTGAAGAATAGATTGTTGTAATTTTACTGGAATTTGTAAGAACACTACGAGTATGTTGAGTTAGAACTACAAAATATAATCATTAATGAAAATATATTTAAATCAAGAATAATTACGTTTGGATTTTGTTTCTTCGAAAAGAACAATTGAAAATGGTTTAATAGTTGCATCAATGGATTCGTTATTTAATGCATGAGCAACAGCTATATATAGATAATGGATAGATGAATAAAAGATTTTTGTTAAACATACTTTCAGCCATTGTATGATATGCAAAATGAAGATAAAGTAAAAAGATCATATGAATTGCTGCAATGGCAAGACCAAGAAGAAAACGATAACGGGGATTATCTGTTCGGCACATTATAATTAACGCCTATTTATAAAGAAAAATTAATAAATGAATTATTCTTTATTAATAGTGTATTGAAAATTTATTTGATAAGAGTCTATAGAAATATGAGTTCACAATTTTATTTAGGACTTCTAGTGTAATAGTTATGAACTGGTCTTTTGCAAGGAGCATAAATTGAATTTGAAGGAGCTTAAAAAATTATTTCAAATACAGTGAATAAAAGAGCAAATATTTGTCCATAAAATGGCATACTAATAATTTCATTTGTCAACAGTAAGGAACATTGTTTCAATTTTCTCGATTTTTAAAGAAAATAGATTTGCCAAGTGAGCTCAGACCATTCTTGAATGATTATTGCGATTCTTACATCACTTTAAAGATAATAATTTCGCCTTTAACTCAATATAGAAACAGAATATGTTTTGAAGTATCAGAAGGATGAACGACTATTATTAGGGGAACAGACACATAACATTAGAACCACAAGCTCTAGGCGTACTAACCCTACTTTCAGAGAAGCACCATTTCTTCGATGATCTCCACGCTGAATAAGACATTGATTTAAACTCAATGGTTTCAAATTTGTACAAGTTCCTTTAAAAGGTTGAAAAATGAATGAACATTTTGTCAAAATAGTTTTCGATAACATGTTATAATCATTTCACTGAAATGTTAATCTCAATAAACAGATTTATTAATAACAAAATGTAACATAAAAAAAAAACAAGTTCTCATATTTTCGCTTTTATCAATGATAGTATTTCCTCTAGATAGTCATTAATCGCGTAAGATACTTATAGTAATGACCAATTTGTCAGATTCTTCAAATCGTACTATATATAGTTCGAACCATCGACTATTAATAATGTTTAAATTTTTATTACAAAGTTTGAATAGAGTAGAAAATCAGCTAATTAAAAACTAATTAGCTTGAGTATAACGACAACCGGAAAACACTCAAATTTTTACAGAATTCATTGCTATGATAATCGAAATCAATACATATATTACATTCTAATCGTACAAAAAAAAAGCCTTAATTCTGAAGAGTGTTAGTCCTTGAGCTTAGATATCGTTTTCGCTGTCGTCTTCAATTTGATATCTTACATTTGAAAATATGATATACAACAGAATTTAATGAAAACTAAATTTCGAAAACTACTGAGATCAATACTATTAACTTCAACTATGATCTAGTTGTTAGCTATTGTATGAAACAAAACATTCGTACCATTCGAAGTGCTGCTGTACCACCAACAATTGCCCAAAGACCATAGAACAAAAGATGATCATAACCCGTATGAATAAATGTAGCAAGAAATAAAACAATACAATGACTGAATAGAGCATAACCCTGAAAAACAAATATATTTATATATTCAATATAAACTTGTTTTTTTTTTCTTGTTGACTAACATTAATACTAAGAACTTGCATGAGACTAAGTTGTGTATTAAAAATAAATGAAAAAGATGATATAGCAAAACTTGAACCAATCCAATAACCAAAACAAACAAGAAAACTTGTACCAATTAATGTACCATCTTGCTATAATAAAATAACAACAAAATTCAATAGTTTATATTTAAATCTGTTTACATACAACGGAATGACTTGATAATTTCATTTGATAAATAAGAATAGCTGCTAATGTAAATACAATCATTGATGGCCCATATAACTCAGGTTTAATATTCTAAATTTAAACAATAAATAATAATAATAATAATTTTTAGAAATTATTTCATACTTCTTGAGATAATCGTCGTGGAATTAATGAACGAATTAATCTAAATTAATATAACTATCAAATACATATATATATGAAAAATTTCGTTTTTTTTTTCTATACCGTTGAATAACTTCTCTTGGTTCAACATCAAAATATGGACGAAGATAATCAAGATTAGCATAAAGATTAATTGCTTGTTGTGCGCGTGTACGTCCTGCAGCCCAAACCTAAAAATCAAAATTTATTTTAATTAATTAAAACTAAATAAATAAATTTATATAAATGCTTACAATAGATCCTACAGTTGGTATTCCGCTTTCCAATGATGTAGATTGTTGATTATTATTATTAGACATTTTTCTATTGTTGAAATTTTTTCTATATCACAGTGAATGTTGATATTAATTTCCAAAACTTGACTGATTGGTAGAGTAGAAGGTTTTATTATAAAGTGACATCTTATATAAATATGAAAATTCGATTGAAGAAATATTTTCACCAATGAAAGGAATATGAATGAAGTTAGTTGGTTACTTGACAATTTTCTGACACATAGGAAAAAAAACGATATTATTCAACAAGTGATGAATCTGATGATGATAATAAAGATATTTTGAAATTATTAAATAAATGTTATAGTTCAACTGCAATTGATTTTCTATCTCTTCGGTTTATTGTTAGTGAACGTTAACAATTAGCTGTAATTAAACAATTAACAGCTAGTGATGAATCAAATAGTAGGTGAATTGAAAATTTTTATTTTTATTTAAAAAAAAACAAACAGTTGTTTAACAATCATAATCTTCAGTAAATTCACAACAACGTTCAACAAATACTCATCAGTTTAACCAGCATGGTGAAACCATTCTTCATATAGTTACAAGAAAAGTTGACTTAAAACAATTAAAAAAAGCATTGAAAGACAGTGCAAATGTTACTGAAGAAGATAATGCTGGTAAGAAAAAAAGCAACTGATTGATCAATTTGTTTGTTATTATCTACTATATAATAGTTTTTTTTTGCATTATATAGGATGGACATCATTACATGAAGGTAAATATTTCACTTTTGATTGAATAAGAACACATAGACAGAAAAATTCGCAATGTCAAATCCATAGAGGATGACCTTAGTTTAAAAAAGGAATTTTTTTTTACAGTTCATATGACACAGTACCCATTCAGTTGTGTTTTTTGTTTTGAAAGAAGTCGGGATAAACTTGCAAGATGCAAGAGAGTCAAATAGTGTTAAATTTGATAGTTTCGAATAGCACATTGAAAGTTTATGCTTAATCGGAGTTATATTAATGTAGTGGATTTACTTTGTTAATCCGTTAATATGAAAGAAGATATTAATACTTAAAAAGATCAAATGATATTGATTTTATTTATTTAGTCATAAGACATTTAGTATTGAAGTTTTTTTCATAAATTTTCTGCAAAACATAAATTCGAAATTTTCATCATAATATGATTCTTAATAAACTTAGAATTTTATAGTTAAAATATTTAGACTCATCTCTATTCTTGTTCAAGACTTTTTTTATCTGTAAAATGTCAATTATTCAGTCATCATTTTATGAATTACAATTAACATTTTATTTTCATTATCGGATATTATTGTTGTACAGTTTCACTTTTGTCCCTTTCTTATTGCATTTCTTGTGAGTGTTTCTCTCTCTCTCTCACTTTTCTTTTACATATCCGGCAAGTTTTAATTTAAACCTATATGATATGATTGTACATAGCACAACATGAAGGTGAGAACGGCATGTAACTGAATATCGACATTCACCTTTCCGATTGATCGAAAGGTTAGGAAAAAAAAAACTAAAAAAATATTTATTTAGAAATAATGAAAACTTCAATAGATGAAAGCCTCTGCATAAACAAAAACTATATGAATGATGCTAGATTTCTAAGCACTGTGTATTATCTCCACGTAATAGAATTTTTTTTTTGGCAAATTTAGTTTTTCACGTTGCGACAAATCTTGTACTGCGATTATTTGTCGTAGATTCACCTTCAAAATTATCCTATACAGATCGTAAATTTTAAACTGTCTAATGTAATAAATGTGACTTACGAGAGAACCATCACTCGAAGTGTTATCGTATTCGATATATGTGTACTAATATTCTTGTAATTCCATAAGGACACAATTGACAGATATATCATTAAAAGTCCAGTTATATTTTTTATGTGATAGATCTTGTAAAAAATTCTAATAATTCAACTAACAAAAGTCTATCATTCTAATCGATATCATCTATTTACTAGTTTACTCTAATGAATATACTTTCATCGATGAAATCGATATGATCGATCATATCGTTAGTGTTATTTATTTTGTTAGACTTATTCCAATCTTTCACCATCTCAAAGTTCGAACATTTTCCATTATGACATTTTGTAGAATAATAACTTTTTCTTTCATATGAATTATGTCATAAGTTCTTTGAGGCGTGAAAAATTTTATATAAGACAAATATTGTTTTCTCGATGATATTTTTAGTATATGCAAATAGCATTTTCAGTCGAGCAAAAGAATCTGAATAACAAGATTCTCTGAGGATTTCGAGCCATCAATCTTTTGATTAATCAAAACATATCATTTGACTTTTACTCATCATGACCTTCCTGACATAGATGATAAATAGTCATTCTTTCTTTCCTTTTTTTTTTTTATTATAACAAACAAAGCATGACTTGATGAATTACTTAGGGCATACCAAAAGTAGTGAGAGTGACACTTTAGCACCAGATAGTACACTTAAAGAAACTTTCTTTCTGTATAGTCTGATAGAGGAAAAAAAGCTCTATCTTTCTATGCGA